ACTAGTAGCTTCTTGTTACTAGTAGTAAGGCCAGGAGCTACTAGTAGTTTCTTGTTACTAGTAGTAAAGCCAGGAGCTACTAGTAGCTTCGTGTTACTAGTAGTAAGGCCAGGAGCTACTAGTAGCTTCTTGCTACTAGTAGCAAGGCCAGGAGCTACTAGTAGCTTCTTCTTACTAGTAGTAAGGCCAGAAGCTACTAGTAGCTTCTTGGTATTAGTAGTAAGGCCAGGAGTTACTAGTAGTAGGGCCAGGAGATACTAGTAGTTTCTTGTTACTAGTAGCAAGGCCAGGAGCTACTAGTAGCTTCTTCTTACTAGTAGTAAGGCCAGGAGCTACTAGTAGCTTCTTGGTATTAGTAGTAAGGCCAGGAGTTACTAGTAGTAGGGCCAGGAGATACTAGTAGCTTCTTGTTACTGGTAGTAGGGCCAGGAGCTACTACTAGCTTCTTGTTACTAGTAGTAAGGCCAGGAGCTACTAGTAGTTTCTTGTTACTAGTAGTAATACGGCCAACAACTACTAGTAGCTTCTTGTTACTTGTTGTAAGGCCAGAGGCTACTAATTAGTAGCTTCTTGTTACTAGTAGTAAGGCCAGGAGCTACTAGTAGCTTCTTGCTACTAGTAGTAAGGCCAGGAGCTACTAGTAGCTTCTTGTTACTGGTAGTAGGGCCAGGAGCTACTACTAGCTTCTTGTTACTAGTAGTAAGGCCAGGAGCTACTAGTAGTTTCTTGTTACTAGTCGCAAGGACAGGAGCTACTAGTAGCTTCTTGTTACTAGTAGTAAGGCCAGGAGCTACTAGTAGCTTCTTGTTATTAGTAGTAAGGCCAGGAGTTACTAGTAGTAGGGCCAGGAGATACTAGTAGTTTCTTGTCACTAGTAGTGAGGCCAGGAGCTACTAGTAGTATCTTGTTGCTAGTAGTCGGTAGTTAGGCCAGGAGTTACTAGTAGTAGGGCCAGGAGATACTAGTGACTAGTAGTTTCTTGTTACTAGTAGTGAGGCCAGGAGCTACTAGTAGCTTCTTGTTGCTAGTATTAAGGCCAGGAGCTACTAGTAGCTTCTTGTTACTAGTAGTAAGGCCAGGAGCTACTACTAGCTTCT